CTGATTTTCCCCAGGCAATGAGCCACTTTTCTTGAACTTGCAAAATCTAAAAAGGTACACCATACCTATCTTCTCTAATTTAACTGTGCAAAAGAGCAGATGAGTTTGGGATGGATGGATGGATGGATGGATGGATGGATGGATGGATGGATGGATGGAGAGAGGAAGGAAGGAAGGAAGGAAGGAAGGAAGGTTTGAACATCAGTGTGCATGAACTGGTCACTTGGTTGTTCTTCTCAAGCCTTCATTTCTAGCATTCTAGAATTCTGGGATTCAGTTCATTATGATGCAACTGGAGGATTCTTTGTGGAATCAAAATGGCAAGCCCAGCTTGTAGTCATGAGTGGCACAGATTCAACAAGAAGATAAAAATAGCTTCACAATTAGGAACTTGGTCAGTTTCCCTCACATTTCCTGGTCTCGTGCCTCTATTGTCAGGCCTTAAAGTACCGGAGTAGCTTTAACTATGGACCAGATCATATCTTTATTTGTTATAATTGTTTCCATGGAATTACTATGCTATCTTCAACCTACACTTTCAGGTAAGTAGAAATTGGTGGTCCATGCAATACACATGGCAACGAGTTCCACCTTGATCTTTTACTTTAAATGCTGGGGGTCCTATACTTTGAAGAGGGAAACACGGAAGAACAGAGATAGCAACTCTGTAGCAGATAACTTACAAAGCAAACATAAAATCCCCAAGCCTAATATTGGATATATTGGACAACCAGTATGATGGCCATCTTGGACATCTGGTTGTCCAAAGTCTCATTGTGGACAACCAGATGTGACTGGAGTATAGGGCTGAAGTGTTTTGGAAATAGTTCAGAAAAAGTACTCTGAACTATGAACACAAACTAATGTAGCATCCATTTGCAACTCTTTAAAGCAGCCATGTCTTTCCTGGGATTGTGTAGCTATCTTCTGCAGTTGCCATGTGCTTGAGTATAAGAAAATAAGTTTGAAAAAAAAATATCAATCTGCCAGAACCCACTTGCTCCTCAAAACTAGAATGATGACAATCAAATTAAAATTTGCTTTTATTTAATTCATATTTTTGTTGGGCCATCTTTGGAAAGAGAAGCAAGATAGAATAAAAAGTTTGAGACAAATAAGGCCAAATCACATATATATAAGCATGGTTTTACCATCTAATGCTGTCATCAAGGGAGGGCCTACTAAGGATTCTGCATCCATCAGAGATGCTTATATATGGAAGCTGGTCTTCTCATGGTAGCCACCACACTGCTTCCAAAGGTGTGAACAGCCCCTACTCTCCTTTAATTTTGAAATGCTCTTAAAACAATTTTATTCCAATGGGCCTTTGTACCCAAGACAAACAAAGGGCATTTATTTATTATTATGGATTTAAACTGATTGTTGTTGTTAATTGTGAGATATTCTGTCATTGGCTTGTTGGTGCATCTTGCCCAAAGTTGGTTGAGATTGGGGCAGTTTATAAATTTTGTAAAATAAGTAAACAGAGAAATAGATACATTTAAGACAAGTCTGCATGCTCTGTTGAAATACCCAAAGGGATGTATTCTGGAATAACATGAATCTACTGGCAAAGATGGTATATGTAAAAAAGAATGCCAGAGGAGAAGAAAGGAAGGAGAATGTTTTGATCTGTAAAGGAGAATTTGGAAGCTTTCAGTCTAGGAAGTGTGGGCTGACAGACGCTTCAGGTTGATGGAAAGATACCTCAAAGAAAAGCAAGTTTCAAAACTCCACTAGGAAGAATTGAAAAGAAAGTCCCAGGCATCCCAAGAATAAGGTAGAAAAGCAACAAGCCTTACTATGAGTTTGGAACCCAGCCAGGAATCTCTGCTTAAGGGTGGATATGTTCAAGGAAGAATGGTTAGATTGGGAAGGAAAACCATACCGCCTTCTTCACTGCTAATCCTTCCTACCTAACATCAGTCTTGCTATTAAGAAAGCATATGGTCAGAAATGCAGAGTTCTACCTTAGCTTTGTCCTTAACATATTATGCTCCCCATTCTGCCATTTGACTTCCAGCCCTTTCCCCTCCCACCTACTTTAGCTCCAATCCAAATCTATGAAAAGCTGGAGAAGACTGAGTCAAGTCTTCCAAATCCAGAAGACAATCCTACCACAAAACAGGAAGATTCTGGATCTCTTGTGGAATGTACAGGTGAGATGAATTTTAGTCTTTGGGGGGCAGGCTGAATTTCCCCATGTTCCAATCCTGAATTACTGTTAATACTAGGGCTGGGCTGAAATGTCTTTCTCTATTTTATGTTTTTTTGTTATTATTCTTTTTCCATGGGGTGGTAAGAATGCATTTGAAATTTTGTAGAACTCTCAGGGATTGAAGGCAGGACTTCAAAACTTCCTTTACATGCAAGGTAGCCAAGGGATGTGCCTAACGTCCTATTTTTCATGATATACTTGTCTCTCAAGGGCTATGCAACTTCCCACACAACAGATAGTAATATTTCCACTGAGCCTTTTTCCAAATGAGGGCCATCGAGGAAGTTGCATAATGTAAGAATAAATAACACAGAGACAAACCAGAACCATTAGCCACTTCACCATAAAAATGAAGCCCACCCCACCCCCAAAAAGACTTTTAAAGAAATTCTAAAGCACTCTGAGATTGAAGTAGAAAAACTGAAGCCCAACAGTATACTGTTCACCACCCCCAGCCCAAGTATTAAAAAAAAAAAAAGGAAAATATTACTATATCTTTAGTCAACTGCCTCTTAAAGTGACAGGTAAGTACTGATTGTAGGTATGTTCACATTAATGGACTCCAAGTAAGATTGGGTTCTTTGCCATAGACTCCAACCCTCTTGAATTTTCCTGAGCCATTTTAATGTGTTCTTGTTTGTGGAAGTCAGAAGCAGCCCTCAGAAGAATGGAGTCAGCCCTTCCCATGTTCTCGTCAAAAGATGCATCAATTGGAACAAAGGTAAGCATTTATTGCTGGCATTTAAGGGTGGGAAAAGAGATGGAGCAACAAGCTTCCTCTTCTTGGGTTACTTTCCTGGAGTATCACCAAGTGTAGGAAGGGTCATAACAGCAGAAGTTGACTTTAAAACAGAAATGGGTAATCTGTAAATTTCATATGCTCCAGATCCTCATTTTAGGGCCACTTCTGACATTGAATGCCCTGATTTTACACTGAGCATCAGTAGCCACTGATGCAGATCCTGAAGGCTATTTGTACTTGATTGATGATTAATTATGCGCCATCAAGTTCCAGTTAGCTTTTAACACCCACATAGACCTTCTGCAGGATGATCTGTCTCTAACCTGACCCTTCAGGTCATTGCTGCTGCAATCTTGTTACTGGCCTTCTTCTCTTTCCTTCCACCTTTCCCAGCAGCTTCTATACTTTTATTAAAGCAAAATTGTTTTGTTCTGTTATATTCAAAATATATACCCTCGTCTCCTCCCCCCATTTCTGCAGCATGGGACCTAAAATGGCCTTGGCTGTGAAAAATCGCCAAATATGGCTCTAGGCCACTGAAAGATTGCTTCTTTGGTGCTAAAAAGAGAATGTTTATTGATTCCTACTAAATATATGTCAGTGCTGAGTTCCAATATTATGTAGCCAAATATTATAAAGTCACAATATCAATTGAATAGAAAGAGTAGAGAATCAATTAAAATATATAGGGAAAGCATCAGCAATTAGCAAGCTCAGGACGTTGGGCAACCGAACGTTTTTCCCAGAATATCTCACATATTGCCTCAGAAGTTCCAATTAGTTTGGCCAGAACAGGATGTGGACAAACGTGCTACTTCCTGCTCTGTCCACTGCACTTCTAGAACTATGGGATCCAGAACAAAGGAATACACAGAATAGTCTTGGAGAAAAACCGAATGTTCAGTTGCCAGATTGCCCCGCTTTGCGCATTCCTGAGAATCATGTGGATGAGTTTTGTGTGTTGTTATTTTATACACATACACCCAAATATACAATCGCTATCAGCCAGAAAGAATGCAGTGGAAGTTTTCTGCCTTACGTGACCCATTTCCGCAACATTCGATCACCCATTCGCTTTATCTGTTCTGGAGTAGTAAGTCCCACTGGTGTTCCAACTGGCTAATTGCCAAGGGGTCTTAAGCCTCCCATTATGAGATCCTAACAACCAGCAAGAGGGATTGTTGTAATAGGTGAGGATGTGGGTGTGTGAACAAACAGGACTCGTTTCCATAGATCTTCTTATGGACTAATGTTAATTATTCATAAGTTATTACATACATGGTTCAGACTGTTTCCTATGTATATTCCATACAGTGATCCCAAATCGGCCCGCCTTGGCAAAAATTGTTGTTGAAGGAAGTATAGCTTTCTCTTTCGCTCTCCTCATTGGAATTGCCGCGTGCTGTTTCCTTAGGTAAGTAACTCAGAGATAAAGCACCTATTTTACCTGCACAAAGTTCCAGGTTCAATGGCAAACATCTCCAGGACTTTGGATAGCTGCAATCAGTCAAGTCAGACAATAGAGCCAGAGAGCGAGATGTCCTGTTACACAACCCTTTAAGGTACTGATGCTGAATCAATGTGGATTAGCAGTAATAGTAATTGGATTAGCTATTACTGCTTCAACAAGTCCAGTGGTCTAAAGCACAACCAAAAACTGTAGCTTCAGTTGACCTCCAAAACCTGTAGTTTGCAATGTGACAGAAACATAAAGTGACGACTTGAGAGAAATCCTATTAACCATGCTTAGTTTTAATTGAGTCTGGATGGAAATGAAATGGAATCCAACAAAGACTTTCACCTGCCCCCACTCATTATTTTGGTGGAGTGTGACACCTAGAAACTCAGTCAGAGGGTCAGTGTGGTCCTTGGCCCAGAGAAAGTTGTGCCATCCTGCTCAAAGGGCAAAAGCAACTCCACCAGAAGCTTGCTCTTCTTCTCCAAGACAAGGGTTAGAGTGGTTTCTCCCTTCAACAAAACTGCTTCCTCTTTCAGTTTCCACCAAGATAAACTGAGGAAAGTAGGCCCTATCATCAAGCAATACGCCAAAAAAAATTACTTTTTGAGGCAAATCCAGAAAGAAAAAGAAGCAGCTAGAAAGAAGCTAAAGCAAGAACATAAGAAAGATCACATTGAAGGTAACGTGTCCTATCCACAAGCAGGCAAAGCATTGACATACCTGGGGTGGTCATTTAACTGTCCTAAATTGGTGAAAACAAAGTCACAATATCATTTATTCCCCAGATTCTCTTGTATAAATATAGAAAAACCCTACGTTGGCTGTTTATTCAGCTTTTGGCACCCACTTTAGATGAGACAGCTGGGGGGGGGAACCCAGCACCCCAGTGTATCTCCCTTAGGAAGACTGATACTATTTTACACAGCTGTGAGGCATCAGAGCTGATAAAGAGTGTGATAGTCTGATAAACAGAATTATTCTTATTCCTAATTTACAGAGGAGATTAAACTATGATGAGTCAAGAGGTTGCCATGATTAGGCTGCTGTATTCACTGTTCAAGAATACATATTGTATGTATTTGTCATTCACATTTGATTACACTAGATCAAAAGTGTAGTAACTATATAGTTAAGGAGTAATCTTAGGCAGATCCTTTGCATAGATGACTCCATTTGCTTGAATTATTTGAAATCAGACCTCACAGCCATCATTAGGAGGTCAGGAGAAGACTGCTATCTGGATTGGGTCAAAAGGTCTGGGCAATGGAGAAGAAGAGGTTCACACTTCTTTCCTGAAGCTGCTATTGGTACTTTTGGGTGTAGTAAAATCCTTGTAGGCTGGGTTCCCACAGGTCAAAATGGGATTGGGTAATTTGGGGTTCAGCTAATAGTAGGTACATTAGCTTTTGTTCTAGATGGAAAAGAAATACCTTGTTGCAAGACATCCATGTTTCCATGATTGCACTCAAGTGTAAAAGTAAGAATGAATCTGACTTTATTTTCCCAAAATATCCTTGTCCTATTATAGTTGAGGAGAAAGAATGGAAGAGAAGGAATAAATTGAAAAGAAAAAAGCAAAAAGTTGAGGAAGAAGATGAAGATGATGATAATGAAGAAGAAGAAGAAAGAACGAAAAGAGGAAAAAGGAGAAAAAAACAGGTAGTAAAGAAGGGACTGAGTAAGATTAAGAAAGTTGCAAAATCCAAGGCTGTCCAGAAGCATGTTAATAAGATTAAGAAGGCTGCAAAACCAAAAGTCATTAAAAAACATGTTGGCAAGATGAAGAAGATGGCAAAATCACAGGCCAAGAAACATGTCCATAAGATGAAGAAAGTTGCAAAGTCCAAGGCTGTGAAGAAACACGTTGGTAAAATTAAGAAAGCTGCGAAACCAAAAGTCATTAAAAAGCATGTTGGCAAAGTGAAGAAGATGGCAAAATCACAGGCCAAGAAACATGTCCATAAGATGAAGAAAGTTGCAAAGTCCAAGGCTGTGAAGAAACACGTTGGTAAAATTAAGAAAGCTGCGAAACCAAAAGTCATTAAAAAGCATGTTGGCAAAGTGAAGAAGATGGCAAAATCACAGGCCAAGAAACATGTCCATAAGATGAAGAAAGTTGCAAAGTCCAAGGCTGTGAAGAAACACGTTGGTAAAATTAAGAAAGCTGCGAAACCAAAAGTCATTAAAAAGCATGTTGGCAAAGTGAAGAAGATGGCAAAATCACAGGCCAAGAAACATGTCCATAAGATGAAGAAAGTTGCAAAGTCCAAGGCTGTGAAAAAGCATGTGGGTAAAATTAAGAAGGCTGTGAAACCAGAAGTCATGAAGAAACATGCTGGAAAGATAAAGAAGGTGGCAAAAGTAGAGATGAAAAAACATGCTAGTAAAAAGAAAAAGGCAGCAAAATCAAAGTCTGGAGAAGCTAGAAAAATGACAAAAAGAGCCAAGGGCAGGACCGATGAAAAGATGAAAAAAGCATCAAAGAAGGACAACAAAATAAAGCTGATCCAGGTGAAGAAATCCCATGAGGAGAAGAAGAAGCAACAGGAGAAGAAAAAAGACGTCTCTAGAAAAAGAAAAGTAAGCAGAGCCAAAGAAAGGTCACCCAAAAAAGCAAAACGTAAGACGCGCCAACAGGAGTCGGAGTCAGACGAGTCAGAGGACACCGATGAGTCATCATGAGCAGTCAGATGCGGAAAGGAGAACAGCCAAAAGACCACATCCTTCCTCAAAGCCAAGACGTTTTTCAGAATGGCAGTTTTAAGATCTCAAGAAAACGGATTTTTTAAAAAGGGATGTCCTTTTCTTTCTCTGATAGAGAACACTGCGCTGCTTCCTGGTGGTGAGGCTCGATATGACATGTATGTCTGAATTTCAGGTCTAACCCAGGCTTCCAACCATGGTTTGTTTGCTGATGTATTGGGGAGGGGGGAGGGAGGGAGGACAGGAAAGTTCTTCCCAAAATATGTGGTATGCCTCTGTTCCTGAGTAGGGCATAGACCTTTCTTGACACCCCTTCAATCCATTTTTATATTTCAGTATTTTTTTAAAAAAAAATCTAATAAAAGAATTATCTGAAGTTAAGGATGAAGAACAGAATCAGTAAAATATCATAACATCCATCCAACAAGCAGTGACATTTCAGGAGCCATCATTGCAACTGGCATATTTGGTAGTCAAACATTTACCCAAGGTTTTAAAAGATGATTCTCAAGACTCACCAAAACAGCTCTCGCTTCCAAAACTTACAAATTTGGTGGGTGAAGTCACTACAAAGTTTCTTTCTGGGGACATCAGGAGCTGTCGCTTATTAGGTGGACACCATTGATAGGTTCCTGGAAACATCTAGTTGGGGTTTAGGAAATGGGGGCCTAGTCCTTCTCTTTTTAGCAGAATGTTCATCCCATCCACTTCTGAGAGAGAGCTCTCTATGCCGTGTGTGTGTGTGTGTGTGTGTGTGTCCATGGAATTATTAGGAGTTAAGCTTGACTGGAGGGGAATATTGTAATACTTTTTATACCAACATTGATTTTGATCAAGTCAAGACTGTGCCACGGGAGGGCGCCAGCAACACATCCAAACTTTGCATCAACCCTTTCAAGTTCTTTGTCTTACTTTTGATTTAAAGCACCCACTTTTATTGCTTCTCTGATCGCTCTCTGAAAAGCCTTGTTTCCACATTTTACAAAACAAAGGTTAACTGCTGTCCAAATATTCCAGAGGTTCTTCCAAAATAAAATCGAACAGAACCTTGTATTGACATAGCAGGAAGGCCTCCAGATTTAGAAAGGTTTCGATAAAATGCTATTTTTGCAATACAGAGTAGGAGCAAATGAAAATAGGATTCTGGGTTGGATTGAGAACCTGAAATCTTTTAAAGGTTGTTCATCACCATTCCCATTATCCTTGGCCATTAGTGGAAACTGGTGGCCGGTAATGTCTAAAAAGTGACAAGTTATGGGTGACCACGGAAGGGGGAAGGCAAGCAAATTATGAAATATGGGTGACACCATCACACAGCTGACATGACTTCAATATTTGGCACCCAAGGTCAGAATGAAAGTACATAATGATGGCATTTGTGTAATTTAATTTGATGTAGCCACTGCCTGACTCTGGAGTAACCCTGGGTAGTGTACAATAAAATCAAACAGAATAAAAATACAGCACAATAATTATAAAATAAGAAAGAAAGGCATCATTTTGACATTGTTGTACATTGCTTTAGACACCGTGGCTACGGGGCATTCAGATTTTTCATTCCTGAGCCAAATGGGTTTCTAGCCTCAGCTAGCAGACCTAACCTTGAATTTTTAAAATGTCTGTATTCTTCATTAGAAGTTCTCTGGCCATAAGAAGGACGTTGCTTAAGGAATTCCCCAAAAGATTCTGAGGAACCATACTGGGAACCACAGTACTTCCATGTAATCTATAATAGACTTTAAAAATATTTTTCTTGATTCATTGATGGATTCTGTGCCATCAAGTCAGTGCCGACTCTCAGCCATCACATAGATAGATTTTTTCCATGTACCAATAGAAGAGAATATGTGTAGCTCAGGGTTGAACTGTGGAGTCCTTGGAGTTATATATGCAACCACTGTATATAAACAGAGAGCAAATCCCATCCCATTCTAGCACTGAAGATGTTACCTAGCCGGGTAACAAAAAGTTTGCAAGAAAAGAGCCAAGCTCAGAGAACTCCAAGGTCTCCACGTGATGATCGGTCCCTAACCTGGTCCTTCAGGTCTTCCAACAGTGCATCCATCACCACCATAACTGAGTCCATCCTGCTTGCTGCTGGTCATCCTCCTCTTCTCTTTCCTTCCACCTTTCCCATCCTTAGAGCCTTCTCCAGAGAACTGCATCTTTGCATCATGGGTCCCAAGTAAGATAGCATGAGCCTGGTCACACCAATATCTGAAGAAAGGGAAAAGATGATCAGATTAAAAAGTAGTATTTATTTCATTTGGGGTCTTCTTTCTTTCCTCCTTCCACTTGCAAGGACGAAAGCACCCAGGGGTATTGGAAGGGGGAGGGTAAGAAAAAAGTCAAGATGGCAACTTCAATGCATGCAGGGCTTCAGTCAAAGAGTTACTCTGCCCTCTTAACTTTTTTGAAACAGTTCTCAACCCACCCACCTCCCACTGAAATCCCTGAAAGCATCTGACTTTACCATGATTGAAAACATGTTAACAGATGAATAATCTGCTTAGGACTGTATCAAATATCATCTGAGCTGCCATTAAGCTACGCAAATGATGAAAGCCTCTGCAGAGTTTTCACCCAAGCCCCAGCAGGATCTGCATTCCCACAGCCCACTAAGCCATTGCTAGTTGAATCATGGCTAACTGATTCCACTTGCTCCGGAAGCCAAGTTCCAAATCTCCTTTTCTGTCCTGCAGCCAAAACTTTTGTAGCCCTATGCAAATCATTTCAAATAGGATCCAAAGCATCACAGGCCACAATAGCGCAGCTCTTTATGCCCACGCAGCAAAGTGTTTGTCCATCCTTTATTTTATTACATTATTTTTAAGAATCTGCTAAAAAGGGAGTGAATGGAGCCTGCCTTCACTTTAATGACTCAATTCAAACAGCATCCTGAGCCATAATGGAGTGAGTTTGGCGTTGATAGTCCATTGGGTTGGCTCTACACCCTTTGGGATGGATTCTCCCAGGGATGTCCACAGGGTATGGTCAAAAAAGTCCAGATGGAAGCCACCAGAATGGCCAATGGGTCAATGGAAGCTTAAAATGGGGAGGGTGCTTCAGTGATTCCACATGGTGGGAAGAGTTCCCACGCAACCCAGCTTTCTCAGTCCAGTTGGCAGAAGAAGTGATCAGAAGATGCAATTGATGATTTTCAAGTATGTGTGGACTTTGAGAAAAGGCAGATGGTGACATTGCCATGCAGATGACCCTAAGATATGACCGGCATAGCAATCCAAGGGACCACACAGAACTGGTTATTCTTTCGGAATTTTTATTTTAGGCTTGCAACTGTTGTTGTTTCCTCCACAATACAGGTCGGCAGGTCAGCCTAGCGTTTCCTCCTAATATATTAGTCAATAAATTTGAACGGATTTTAATTTGCGAATGGAAAAGGCTCAGCCGGTTGCAGAGACGATGCGAGTTACTTTGTCTCCCCGATTAGCATGCATGGCGGTGGCGGCAAGCCATTGATAGAAAATGTTACATTTCCATAAAGTGTAGTGTAATTTGTCAGTGGGCTGCAGGGGAGACGAGAAGGAAGACGACGTTCTCTGAAAATGAGACTAGATTCAAGGCCCACGTGTATCACGCAGCCATCAGTCTTAGAAGAACTTGAAAACAAGACACCTGCTGTAGGACACTTGCCAAGTAATCTTGCCTCTGCTTTGTCTTTCATGGATGCTTCTTATTCCACCTGGGATTGGTGGGAAAAAAATGCACTGTCTTGGCCTTGTTGAAAAGAAAGCCAACCCAGATAAGCATTCAATGTCCTTTCCACATTCGGATGCTCAAGGCTTGTTTGTGACTCCAGCATTGCGTGTTGTCACTGGATGGAAGGATCTGAACAGGGAGATGAGAAAAGTCAATGTGGCAGCCATGATCAGTGGTCATGACTATCTTCTTGATCTTTCCGATCCTTCCTGCAGATGCCCCGAGATGTGAATCCACTGGGATGGCCCTACGATTTTCAACACAACAGACACCACTTGACACAAGGAGCGAAGAGGATGGTGAAAGATTTCCATCTAGATATTTGACTGCATCTAGGAAGGAAGTAGATGAGTTGAAGTCCAACCCATTCAAAGGGCAGAAGGTTGCAGTAACCTAATCAAGAAAAACAGTTATTGCGTAAATGAAGTGGTATTTGGATTTCCACACTCCATTATATTGAAGCAGACATGTGTTATCTAGTCTCTATCACCCGCTGCCACTCTGCCCATTATTCCTGAGTGAGACATTAATGGGCTAATGCATGACCCACAAAACCTTTCTGCATTGTTTCCGAAATGAAGTCCTCCCAAAGTTCTTACTACAGAGACTGTTCCATTCAGCAAGTGAGTCCCATTAAACCATCAAATGGGTATTCAAAACAAATACAGCAAAAGGGCTTTTTAAAAAATTGAAGGGGTTAGAAAAGAAGAAACCAGCTATAGAACATGAATGTTTTGCTTGAGACGTCTATAATTCCCATTCCTCTCACTTCATCATTTCACCCAAACCTTTATCATCAAAAGCAAACACTGTTCAACTATTAAGAAAGATCCCTTCCTTCCTTCCTTCCTTCCTTCCTTCTTCTGAGGATGTCAAGAACCATAACTCATTGATCTTCTCATTGCACCTTGAAGAGATTTAAAACAGAACAAAAACAAAAACTCTCTGGGATACATAGATAGGAAGCTGTTCCAGCTTTTATAGGAAATAAGCATGCATTTAGAAGCTTTTGAATTGATTAATGAAT